TGGTCGCCTAAACACTTAACGCATCTAGGGCGCGCGAAGCAGTTGCGGGCCGAGTGCCCGTACAACTGGCATTTGTGGCACTGACCGGGAAAAGGTTTGGCGTGCACCGACTTTAGTAGGTACTTTTTTAATACTTGAACATTTAAATTGTTAAGGGGATGGATTTTCTACTTTAATTGGACCTTTAAATGTAATCATTTTTAAGAAAGAAAGAGGAGAGATAATAAAAATTTCAAATTTTGATAAACGAGTTTTATAACCATGTTTTGTCTAAGCAAAATCAACCAGTCTAACTGCGTAATACTAATGAGATTTAAGTCACTATAGTTTTTGTTGAGTAGGCAACAGTTTTAGATATAGACTATTTATAATTTCCAAGAGCAGTATACACTACATACATTTTTGCACAATCAGATATGATAATATTTCTTGTAAACCAACTGGAACAGTGGAAGCCAGCATTTAAATTCGCAACTGTGACATTAACTTCCGTTAACCTTGTACGTAATGAAGACAAACTTTTAAGTTACAAAAATACAAATGAACTCATTTTTCTTGTTTCGAATTGTTTTTCCTCAGACATAATAACAGTGATCATTTCAAGTAGGTTATATCGCTGCTTGATTACTTAAATGGCTTATCGTGCTAAGTGACATAGCTTCGAACAAAAAAAACACCTTGCTTGTTTACTCGGTTACCTTGATGCTGATTCATCGTCCGTGAAGGTTGTCAATTTATAACACTCAAACCATTATTTATAATTATGCTATTTACATGACTTATAATAATAGATATCCTAAGATAATTTCAGCATATCAAGTGAAATAAATTTTAAACAAAGTTGAGAAAACAGCTATCAGTGGTTGAAGTCCAAATGCTTCCAAATGTTATGCTAAAATTATGTTTTAGTCAAATAAATTTTGAAATATGTAGCTTCAAGTTGGCGTTAGCTGATCAGCAGATAACGTTTGCCATAAACGGACCACAGTTTGCAGGCAGTCAAAGTTCGAGTACAACCGCTTGAAGAATGTATTTGTGTAGATATCGCCAATTACTCACACATTTAAAAGAGAAACGTTGATATTTAAAATTGGAATCACGTAATCCAAAGAGGTCGAATCGTGTGTTTATGGTTAATCTTTTGTGTTCCAATGTGTACTACTTGTACATGCTATCAATTTATAAACAAGAATATTTTGTAGCAGCCATTGTTGTAAAGATAGCCACTCTTTCTTTTAGTTCTTACGAAAGTATGAAAAGTGCCATAGATTAAGTTGGATGATTTATTTAAGGAAATGGGAAAAGGAAATTTTTTTTATCAATATAAAAAAGACAAACAATAAACCTAAGTTAGTGTCATCTCTAAAAGAAGTCGAAATACCGAAGTAACCTAACCTAAATATGAAGATACAAAATAGGATAAGCATTTATATTATAGAGGTTAATATGTGTGCGAAAAACATATTGACCCCAATCTTGTCGTAATATTTTTGATATGTTGTCGCAAATAGTCGAGCAATGGTTAAAATCTGCAAATTAAAGAAACAGTAAAATGCTGCCAAGTGATTAAGGTCCAGTTTCAGTCATAAATTCGAAGAAAAAGTAACTCTAAATAAAGGATGCTCATAAAAAGTATTGATTAATTAATCAGAACAACGAACATGCTTGTGTTGAGCAAAAACATGACATCCAAAGAGAGCAACATTACGTAATGTGTAAATTGTGGTCAATCATGGCAAAGATTAAGATTTGAAAATTAATCAAAAAAGCATTAAGTAACTAGTAATTTCATAAAAATAACTGAAATTAAATCTTTCAATACTGGATGCAATGCAAACTACAAGGAATAACCCATATTTATAATGACATCGCCGACTTCAATTAAGTAAAAGAAATCGGTCCTTGGATACTCAGTATAATATGAAGTAGAAAATATGTTCTCTTTGAAATTATTGTAATTTGGAAACGGATTGCTTCATAGAATTTACTGCATAGCACATCTGTTAAAGATGTATAATCTATGACATGCTTCGGTATACGTAACACACGCACCGCTTTCGCGTACTACGCCCTGCCCGTACCGTGGACCGTGGCACGACACGCTTGCCATCGCCGCGGCTCCACAGATTGGTGACTCCCGCGCGCTACTTCGTTCCATTCCATTCACATTCACTCGCCGCTTGGCATTCGTTCGTGTTGTGTGTTTCGTAACGATTGTAATCCGTCCAAATTTTCTTTTAGCGCGAGTGATATTTTGGTAAAAATGTCAAGATTCGCTTTAATTGTTCCTGTGGTTTTGGTCGCATTTTTCGCACAAGATGGTGAGTAAATTATTATATTTAATAACGTTTTAATTTTACACAACTAACGTAAATGCGCAAAATCTTGTTGAATCTTTGTTTGTTATTTTGGCTTAAAGAATTTGCATATCAGTGGAAGTATGTAAATTGCTTATCTGCAATACCTTTTTTGATTATTTCTAATGTAAATTCATTTTGTTATCGTATTTTGCTTACAAATGAAAATTTTAAATCATACCTACTATATGAACATTACGCGGCCAAGGCGAAACTGACTTCATTATGAAACCGACACAACCTGTTTAGGAATCCAAAACATCACACATGCGTTTGCATAATTTTTTTAAAACGGCTTAAACGGTTCCAATTTTAAATAATCTTGAATTCAACTGCAACTCTTGTTTTCTTTCTGGTTTATTTTAAATTACATCGTACTTCTTGTTAAACTTTCTTCGAAAAGTTGTTTTTTCAATTAAACTATTCATTAACTATGCTAACTTACCTAAACCACTGAACAGAGAGATGAAATTTTAATATGGTCTTATGAATGAATGAATATTCCTACCGCAAAAATTCTAAAAATAAATTAAAAACCCCAGTTTTTTATTGATTTTTAATGCTAATGTAACATTCAATGTTATTCAAAATCTTAAGACTTATACGACTTATTTAACGCTGACCGGATATTAAAAAAAATACCGTCATGCAATAAACTGAATATCCTTTGAAATGTCTTATCTCGGTTAGTTTGCGACTGTTATATTTGATTACACAGCTGTCTGCAGTAACCAATAAACGTCATTGTGGTTGTCCACTGTAGTAAGTGTGAAACCTTGCCTGACCACAATAATCAACACTGATAACTATCATGGGAACCATACTTCATACTTTAATATTATAAATACGAAAGTACATGGATGGATGGATGTTTGTTGCCTAAACGGCTGAACGGGTTTCAATGAAATTTGGCGTAGACGTAGAGGATATTCTAAAGGAACACATAGGATACTGTTTCCTTTTTTTTTAATTCGACGCGGACGAAATCGTGAGCGAAAGCTGGTCTGTAAACGTAACATTATAGAACACTATTATATAGAAATAGAATATAAAATAGAAATAACTTTATTGCAAAAAATAAGGGATTAACAATTATAATAACAGTTATACCAATTAAACGATAAATACAAATTGTGTATATAAATTGTTGTATTGCTAGTAATATTATAAATGCAAAAGTTTAGATGGAAGGATGTTTGTTAGGATTTGGGTCTAAACTGCTGAACAGATCTCGATAAAATTTTGGCATAAATACAGAGGACTCTGGAAGAATACATAGGGTATTTAAATTTTTTTTCCACGCAGACGGAGTTGCGGAAAAATTAAATTAATAGTATATACTACAATTCAAAATGCCACCTACTAACCCGTGAACTCCAGGACTTTGTTTTGACTTAGCAAATCGCTGTCCCAAACTCTTGTAGAACTTGTAAATATAAAAATAAATAAATACTCTTATAACTTGCACAGAGCATAAAGTTGTCTAGTTTTTCCACATGACTCAGTCTACTAACTTGTATCGTCGCAAACAACGGATACAAACACCTACTCTAGCGACATAAATCTGCGTTACAAGTCATAAAATGGTTGTAAAACAGCTGATTGTATTATGACCTATTTTTAAAAATATCGCAAGGTTTTAAATTTAATCAACGTTGATTTTTCAAACGCATTCTTTTATGTAAAATATCTTGACGCCTAAAAAGAGAGGTCTACAGAAACGAATTAATTTTTAAAGCGATCCACGAGGAAAAATGTTTGGGAACCGTGATCTGAACCTTAAGTTCCATAAACATACAGTCAAGTCGCTTTATAATAACATGGAAGAGGTTTATTGCAACTTTGAACAACGCAAGATTAAACTATACTTTACTATATAACATTCTATAAAATCTACCTGAAGTGTGTTCCCAGATACGAACTTTATCAGTAGTAATTAAAAAGCTTACGTCACACGATAAATTGGTGTCAGGTTAAATCAAGACGTGGAAACGTGCCAAAAGACAAGGGATGTTGTATCATCCGTGACGTGATGGTATCCCTAAAATATCTGAACTGGGAAACGGTTTCAAGGTTTTACCATAGTGACGGTCTATCATATTGACATGTTTCGAACTTTAAACATTTTACTGAACTGGGGAAAATCGAGTTTACTTTACGGCAATGCCATCTCGATATTATTATTTTTTAAAATGAATGAAAAATATTTGCTTACATGGTTTGTATACGTTAAAACTATATATGAATGATAGATGCTTAAGAAATGTGCCATGATTAAGAAGGGAGTGATGACTGAGATGACGGATGATAGAGTGCTTTGGAGGACGAAAACCCGGTGCGCCGACCCTACGGGAGTAGGATAAGGCAGGGGAGATGATGAGAAGCTTAAGAAATAAAAGTTATGGCACGAAAATAAATGGTTGTGTTGGTCGCGGTAACAAGACTACAAAAAAACTGACGTGATTATTATACGCAAATGTATGAATGTAGAAAAAGCGAGAGTGGTGTGATCTCTGGCCAGAGAGTGTAGCACACGCGTGAGTTATGTTGTTGAAAAAAAAAAGTATGACTATTTTGCATATTTTTTCGTGAGTATCTTTAAGTTTATTCCAATTATATTTTTATTTTAATCGATGATTTAAAATCAAATATTTATCAAAACGATAAGTAAATTGCTATTCATTCTTATTTATCTTAAACTAGCTTTCGCCCGCGACTCCATCCGCGTGAAATTAAAAAACAATATAAAACATAGCCTATGTTACTCACTGACAACGTAGCTTTTTAATGGTGAAAGAATTTTTGAAATCGTCCGAGTAGTTTTTGAGTTATTTTCATTATAATCAAACAAAGTTTTCCACTTTATAATATTAGTATGAAAAAACTTTGAGTGCACAATAAAAATACAGATAATGCAACTAAAAAGCGATTATCGTTTGATAACGATATCTTGTATGCAACCCGCATGATATCCTATGCTACTTAACAGAGGCAATTCCCAGTGAGAATCAATTGTTAAAGCATAGTAAATCACACTATTGATTAAAATTATTAGACGCTATTGTTAATTATATTCACAATACAACGAATTATTTTATCATCATTCACATCTTCACGCTTCGTTGTAAGCGGGGCGTGTAGAGATAAATTAACAAAGAGTTTTCTTCTAATCTAATCATGATTGGGACAACTAAATATAATAAATCATACTTCATACTAATATTATAAATGCGAAAGTTTAGATGGATGGATGTTTGTTAGAGATTGTAGCCTAAACGGCTAGACGGATTTCAATGAAATTTGGTATAGATAGGCTACTTACTTTTGTTTTTTTTATTTCACGCGGACGGAGTCGCGGGCGAAAGCTAGTTATATTATATAATCCTTTCGCCGCGTGTTACATTGATATAAAACTAACAAAATGGTCTTATTTTAGAACGCCTTAAATAATTTGCTAAAATATAACGATAGGTAATTGACAAAGATTTACACTATGGTCGTAATGATGAATAATTCTTACTAAAATAATATTGAAAGCAAAAATAGATCATTGCTAGTTTTTGCTGGCTTTTTCATAATTTTTTTGTCTGATTACTCATACATTTATCTCCACACCCACAATATTAGCTTAATTCTAATGAACAACATAAATGGGTTACGGTTTAATTACTCTAAAAAGCCATGACCTGTCATAAACTGTATGAGGTCAAGACTAGTTCTATTAGACGAGATCTACTTAACAGGAGTGTTTGCCATTAAAAGGGATATCCCTTACCGTTAGTCGACTTTCGAACTTCATATTGATGCTGATAATTACAGTAATGCAATCAAAACTGGTTTATGAGAGTGGTTTTTAAAATAGTAATGTATTTACTTTAATACTCGCGCAAATAAGAGCTTAAGATAATCAGAATTTTAGTTTAGTAACTCTATGCAAGCACATTTAGTTTAAATAAGAACAAACACCTTTGACTAAGCTATCGCAAAACTGTTTAGTCGCGTTTTGATTCCTATGAGCTTGAATGGTGGTGCGTACACTACTCGATTTTTAGTTGGTCAAATAAACTGTTGAATTAGATGCGAAACAATCGACAATCGCACAGAGTTTCGTCAAAGGTGTGCGTCAAGATCGTGGACTAGCTTAATGATAATAAAAAAGAGATAAAAACACAATAATAACACACATACACTGGCTTTAACATTTAATTCAGATTAATTTATAAATCAACTGCAGAACATTACAATGTAATGAGGTCCTCAGACAACGGAAGTTGAACAATTGCTCTTTTGATCGTCAGAATAGAGATATAATCGAATTAATAACATTTAATCCAAGACCAGACCCCTCGGTAAACATGACATCGTTAACTGACGAATTGATCGAAGACGTATTTATGTTTTTTTACAATCTCGACGCGTAAATAATAATTTCGATACAATTTGAACCTTGCTAGTATAATAATAGAGTTTAAAATCACATTGTCACTTGTGTGGCATGTTTTCTTTGCCACAAAATGCTACATGTCTGTAGGTTGTATGTATACAGTAAACTTTGCAATACGTAAAGATAAGGTAACGCGTAGTTAAGGTAGAGTGACTAACTTGTTTACCTACATTTATGTAACACGTCGCCTCAATTATCGTAAGTTGCAATTGATTTGTAAACTATTTTTATTTAGATCTAACTGTTCCTGTCCGGCTTCATCCTCATGAAATTATGAAAATTTTATTGTATTGCTTGCATTTGTCAAATTATCAATAGCAAATGTCAAAATGACATGACATGATAACCTTAGCAATCTCTCATTCTTGATGTTGGCAGCAACTTATGGTCTCTTTCCCACATTAGGGTTTTTATCTAAAATGTTTACCCGCTAAATTTAATGGCGTGAAAATATATAGCCTAAAGCATGACGTAAGTGCAGGGCTTTTTATTTAAAAAAGAATTATTTAAAAATATGCTG